AATAAAAAGTAGGCAGTTCCATTTAAAAAATTGAAGGTGACCTTGCTTTTTTATGGAAGAAAAAATGTTTGGTCAATTTTTATTATTGCAATTTGTTGCCGGTTAGAAACTGATAAATTTCTGTTTATGACTTTTTTATGTCAGATTATTGTAAGTGCCTTAAAAATCGTGGCGACCGTTACGAGGACCACCCTGTATACATATGTATATCTATATAAAATTTATAACAAAATATAAATTTTTTAAATATAAATATAAATTTTTTTTATTTAATAAATGACTATATTGCTTATTAAGGATGTATTGTAGATACAATCGTAGCAAAAAGTAGCTAAAATTCGATATTGACGAATATGTGTACTTCTTATGTAGTTTGAGAAGTAGGAGTATGAGAAATTGCGTGGAATATTACAATTTAATCATAGCTACAGTATAGACATGTATTTTTGAATTTCTGTTGCCTTATTACTAAGAATTTCCGAATTGTGTGAATCAAAACGATTAACTTTTAGCAGTAACGATACCTCAAATTCAACTTGACAACACGAAATTTCATTTATAAAAATTAAAGAATTTACTCGTACTGAGTGGTTCAGAATAAAAATAAAAACGGTTAATAATCACAAAATATACAAGATTTTCAACTATTTAATTGATAAATTTAATAATTTGTCATGTCTCTGGCGAGCGTGAAATATGACAACATGGTAATTTTTCATAAGTTGGCCAGATTGCGCACTCTATACATGAGACCTACTGGATTGTACGCATGCGTAGGTTATATCATATTTTCCATAACTGCGTGTGCTTTAGAGGTTAATTGTGTTTTTCCACAATGGACAAAATAAATGGACGTTATCGTTGGAAAGGAAAAATAGTGACCAAAAGCGTGTATGAGAAGAGACTTTTTCAGCTAAAAGTTGAGGAGAGACGCAAAAAAGTGCTTCTTGAGTCTCAAGATTTTCAAGGTCAGGAATATATTAAGACTGAAATTCAGCAGACGAACGATGAAGAAGAGGAAACATCATTAGATGGACGACGCATTGTCGATTTAAAGTTTCTGGGCTGACAAATGTGGTGTATTTCGTGCAAAGAAGCTTTGTCTTTAGAATATATTGAAAAAGAGTTTCGTCGAGGATTGGGTCCAGCTACTTCGGCACCATTCGGCACTATTTCCGTCTCTCTCTTTCTTCTCAGCTGAGTGCGATGTTGCCATATTTTCACAGTGAATTTCGCGTCATATCGGATGACATGACCAATTTCATCGAATTATATTTAATATCTTGTTAACCAGTCAGTACTTGTTAAATATTATTTAATCAAATATTTCCTCTATATATAAACTACACTTCTGCAAATTTTAAACAAATTCTGAATATTATTTCCATCTGTTTTGGCCATTTGAATCGACGTGGTCACACATTTTCCATAAGATCACGGGTTAAATCGCTGCAAATTAAAATCCTCATAACTTTTGATTGCTTCAGTGAATCGACTCAGGATTTTTTTATAAGTTTCTGAATATATGTAAGAACATTCTGTACAATTTTGGTTAAATTCCTAATATTTCAAAAATAGATACGAAACATCCTTAACAACCGGCGCGATATTGTTTTCGCTATATTCAAATAGTAAATAAATACGTGTTATTATTTCCCGGTGTGAGTGAGTGTATGTGCGTAACACGCGCGCTTCGATAATGAGTAAGTTTAAATAAATTTTTAATTACTTAATTTACCTAATTACTTTAATTAATATTTTAAATTTAAATAACGTATTACTATATAAGATTTTTATAATTATACGTATATGGTACAATGTAGAAAAGTATGCCTAAAAAGAAAAAAGGTGGAAATTTGTATAAAGTAATAGCTATATTTTAACACTACATAACCGCATAAGAGCGGGAAAATCAATCGATCTTAAAATTAATTTTTTAACTGCTTAAAAAAATTTGGATTATTCATTTGTACATCTAATAAAATAAATAATATAAAACATAATAATAGATTGTCTTTAATTTTATTTTAAGAATTTTATCAATTTAGTTTATACTAATGATTATTTATATTAAAAAATAATAGAAGGCTATGTTTTGTTGATTGTTTAACATTGAATATGAATAGTAAATACAAACCAAAGATAAGAGTCAACCATCAAACTAATCAATCTAAAATAAACTAAATACGAAACGAACCTCCATAGTCGAAGGATGGTTCTTTCTATAATATTAGCCGGTATTATAAAAACAAAACTTAATAAAATTGCAATATTATAACCGCATTATGTTTCATAATTAAAATTATACCAATAAAAAAGGCCCGATTTTTTTTATTGTGTCCCGATTTTTTAAGGTCGATATCCCGAAATTGGTTAATCAAGAGTTGGTCACCTTAGCTCAGACCCTAACGCACGAGTCAGAAATTAGAAGTTGGCCATATCGCAAAGCCAAAAATGAAAAAGTAGACGTCGCCCGCGAAATTTTAAGCCGATAAAACTTGTTTAATATTTAAAATATTTACATTATATCATATACAGGGTGTAACAGAGCGCCAGTATCAGCAGTTTTCTTTATTATAGTGTTTTGGAAAGCTCTCGAGGTAAGCTATAAGAATATGTAATAAAAAATAGGGGGTTCCATTTAAAAAATACAAAGTGATTTTTATGTGACCTTGACGGTGCTATTTAAGGTCATACTAATATTATTATATAATGCGCCACTTAGAGCTCTACAACTTTTGCATGAAACATTTTTCACGAAAATGCGTTGTTTCCTCAAAAAACTGCTGATACGGGCGCTCTGTTACACCCTGTATATGTATATACATGGTGTTCGGAAGCACCCTAGACAACGCTCGTGAGCGAGTAGAGCACAATAAACTGAACAGAAAAGTCTTTTACCGTCTTGCAATAATTATTGTGAAAATTATGTATATATGTATATATATTGTTGCAGCAAAATTGAGTTCATGTACAATAGGTGAAAGGATCGGAGAGGATATCGATAAAATTAACTTTGTATCATACAAAGGACTAGTTTTATTTTTATCTCAATGGCTCGTGTTAATACTACCGTGGGATCGCTGGTCGACTAGACGGGGCAGACGAAAGTTCGCATGCATGATTGCACATACGCGCTTACGCGAAGTCGTTGCGATACAGACGTAGCTCTCCTGCTTACCGACGCGATAAACTAATTGTCTCAATACTAGCGCAGTTTGAATGTTCCTTTTGAATCGGAGCTAGATTAATTATCTCGCATAGTTTTCTTAGTCTGTCTCTCGGTAGCGCTTTCGTAAGAATGTCGGCACGCTGTAGCTCAGATGGAGTATACTTTACCAATATGTCGTTACTCTCGAATTTCTCTCTAATATAATGGTAGCGTATGTCAATATGTTTAGTATGCTTATAAAATACAGGATTTTTCACTAAGCGCGTATCGTACTCTGATTATCTACCCACACAGAGCTACATATCTAATCGATATCTACTGGATATCGACATATCCATATAATGTCCATATCTACTATGGATAATCAATAGATATCTATTAGATATCAAAAATATCTATATCTCCCGTATAACCAGCTGGGATATCTAGTGGATATCCACATATTATCCACACATCCATGTTAACTAAAAATTTATTAAAAAATATCCAGTAGATATCCATTAGATATCATATGTTACGTCCGGCGGACTCCACGATTCTTTTCTTTCATCGTAAATAGAGATTAGCGGTATCTTAAGAGCGCATTACGCCTTGAAATAAACAAATGGAAACTGAAAGGCGAGACAAACTTTTCGGAAACAAAAATTGAGAGGATATATGATACAAACAGGAAACTAGAGCATATCTGATCTAAGAAATAAGCAAATTAATCAACTACTAAAAGCTTGGGTGACAAATTCTCTTACTAATCTAAATTATGGTTGACAGCTCTCGTAATAAACAATTTCGGTACCAAGAATCTAAATGAAAACCGAAACGGACATTAAAAATGATATCATATGTGCTCGCCGACAGATCTCCGTTACACGATATCTA